CAGAGAGAGAGAGAATTTTAACATTTATTTATTTTTTCTTAGTTCTCGGCGGACACAACATCTTTGTTGGTATGTGGTGCTGCTGAGGATCGAACCTGGGCCGCACGCATGCTAGGCGAGCGCGCTACCGCTTGAGCCACATCCCTGAGAGAGAGAATTTTTTAATATTTATTTCTTAGTTCTCGGCGGACACAACATTTTTGTTGGTATGTGGTGCTGAGGATCGAACCCGGGCCGCAAGCATGCCAGGCGAGCTCGCTACCCCCTGAGTCACATTCCCAGCCCTAGCCCCCACTAAATTCTTCAGTTAAAAAGGAAATAAAAGCTGGGTACGGTGGTGCACACCTGTAATCCCTGCGACTTAGGAGGCTGAGGTAGGAGGATTGCTAAATTCAAAGCCAGCCTCAGCAATGGTGAGGCCCTAAATAACTCAGTGGGACTCTCTAAATAAAATACAAAAAAAAAAGAGCTGGGGCTGTAGCTCAGTGGTAGAACGCTTGCCTAGCATGAGTGAGGCATTTGAGTTCCATCCTCAGCACCACATAAAAATAAACAAAGACATTCTGCCCATCTACAACTACAAAAAATAAATAAAATACAAAAAAGGACTGGGGATGTGATCAGTGTTTGGGTGCCCCTGAGTTCAACACCCCTGGTACAAAAAAAAAGGAAATAAAAATTTAATAAATTAGGACTGGAGTGTAGCTCTGTGACCACGTACTGTGTGAGGCCCTGGGTTCAATATCCTAGAACCAATATTAATAATAATAGGCTGAAAAACAATAAAAATTTTGGGAATAAAGTAATTGAGGGAATTTAAAATAGAGTTTTTATAAGAACAAATGGAAAATATTCACCTATGCTCTAGATGTTGGGAAAGGAGAGCGGCAGTCCAAATTAGAAAAAAAAATCAGTAATCAATATAATAAAGAACAGCAAAATACAGAATATCAGCAAACTAAGAAGTGATGGTTTGGAAAGGTTAATAAGGGGCTGGGGATGTGGCTCAAGCGGTAGCGTGCTCACCTGGCATGCGTGCGGCCCGGGTTCGATCCTCAGCACCACATACCAACAAAGATGTTGTGTCCACCGAGACTAAAAAATAAATATAAAAAAAAAATTCTCTCTCTCTCCTCTCTCACTCTCTCTTTAAAAAAAAAAAAAAAAAAAAAAAAAGGTTAATAAGGCATTCCCTAGAGGAATGGATAGTGCCCTTTCAGATCTTGCTGCCTCACCATCTTACTCCTCTCTCCTAGCTTCTCACTTTCCTGATTTCTCAAGGTGAGATGGCTCTGGGCTCAGTCCTGGGATCTTATTCCTTCATAGCTAGGCTGCTGCCTTGGTGAACTCAAGCTACCCACATACATGTGCACTTGGAATATCAGTTTCCCAATGCTTTGTTGGGCTCCTTGTTGCATCCCCAATGCTCAGGTCAATAAATATTTGTTAATAAATGAACAAACAAAAAGAATTAATTAAGATGATGCAAGACTTATGCACAATAAATAGATTTTTTTTCCTTTATATTTAGGGGGTTGAGGCTGTGGCTCAGCGGTAGCGCACTTGCCTGGAATGTGTGAGGCACTGGGTTCGATCCTCAGTACCACATATAAATAAATAAATAAATATCCATTGACAACTACTAAAATATCAAGTATGTGTGTGTGTGTGTGTGTGTATATATATATATATGCAGTGGCACACATCTGTAATCCCAGCGCCTGGGAAGGCTGAGGCAGGAAAATTGCAAGTTCAAAGCCAGCCTCAGCAATGGTGGGACACTAAGCAACTCAGTGAGACCCTGTCTCTAAATAAAATACAAAATAGAGCCAGCTGTGGGAGCCAGGTATCGTGACACACACCTGCAATCCCAGCAGCTCAGGAGGCTGAAGACAGGAGGATCTCAAGTTCAAAGCCAGCCTCAGCAGCAGGGAGGTGCTAAGCAACTCAGTGAGACCCTGTCTCAAATAAAATACAAAATTTTATTTTTGTATTGAGGATTGAGGATATGGCTCAGTGGTTGAGTGCCCCTGACTTCAATCCCAGTACAAAAAAATATATATTTTTTAAAAATTTTTTGATTGTGGTAAAACACACATAAACTTTACCACTCTAACCTTTTTTAGGTGTGCAGTTCAGTGGCATCAGTACATTTACATTCTTTTGCAACCAACACCACCATCCACGTCTAGAGTTTTTTCATCTTCCCACATGGAAATTGTGCACAGTACATGTTAACTGCATTGCTTCCTCCCGTGGCTCCTGGCAATCACCCTCCTATTTTGTGTCTCCTGTGAGTTTGACTACTCTGTGTAAGTGGATCACACAATATCTGCCATTCTGTGTCTGTTGTACTTCATTTAGCATTATATACTCCAGGTTCATCTATTTTCTAGCATTTGTCATCATTTCCTTCCTCTTTAAGGCTGAGTAAAATTCATGAAGTAGATACATGTCCTTTATCCATTCATCTGTGGATGAAGTCTTGGTTACTTCTGTCTCTTGGCTACTGTGAATAATGTTGCAGTAACTGAGAATGATGTAGCTTATTTTCTTTCACCACTCTGGTTCCCTGGTGAGCCTGGCCCACTGGAGGGGTATGTATTAGTGGGAACAAAATGCAACCATGTCATTCAGAGATATCTCCTACCTCCTAACATCTTCTCTCAGGGGTTCAGGGGCTCTGGGACCCTCTCTCACTTGGCCTGACTATGGAATAACATCCATTTAACCCTGATATCACAAAAGTATCCCGAGCTGTCATTTCCATTTCACAGAGGGAAAACAAATGCAGAAGGCAACAGGCCAGCAGTCTCCTAGTTAGTGTAGGACAGACTTGGGTCCAGACATTCACGGTTCCAAGACACTTTTAACATTTACAACACAGTGCTTTTTTGATTTTATAATGTTTAATATTTATTTTAGAATTGGACAGGCCTGAAAGTCTGAGAATGCAATGAACATGTTCATTACCACCCTGCCTCCTGATGGCAACCCATGTTTGATCATATTAAATGGTGACAGTGGTTGAGAGTGACAGACAGGTGCCTTAGGATCTATTGATGACAACCCCACAGATGTGACATCTGTTGCTTAGAAGCTAAGGGAAGCAGGCACGTGTTCTGTTTGTTTGTTCTGTTGAGATATACACGACAGTAGAGTGTATTTTCATATACATACATGGGGTGCAAACCATTAGAATTTTGATCCCATTCTTGCATTGTATATGATGTGAAGTTTCACTGGTCATGAATTCACATAAGAACATAGGAAAGTTATCTCCTGTTCATTCTACTGTCTTTCCTGTTCCATCTCCCCTCCCTTCCCTTACCTGTCTCGAATCCAATGAATTTCTATTCAGAAAGAGAGAATTTGTAAATATACTAAGTGCAGAATGGAAAGAAGACTAAAAAATTAAAATAAGAATGGTATAAATAATAATATAGGAACACATTTTAAATGAAATCTTTTCAAATTTCTGGGAAAAGAAAAACTGTCAAAGTTGGTACAAAAGAAAACAGGAGGACAACTAGTAATTGTGACAGACACTTCTCACACACACCATTTAGGGACAGTTTAATAGGTGAGTTTGATGGATCTTTAAATAAACAGTACCTACCTAAAAAAATTGTTTTAAAAAGTAGGATGCCTGGCCTGGGGTTGTAGTTCAGCGGTAGAGCGCTCCCCTAGCACAGGCAAGGCCCTGGTTTCGATCCTCAGCACCACAAAAAAATTAATTAATTAATTAAAGATATTGTGTCCAACTATAACTAAAAAACAAATATTAGAAAAAAAAAAGGAGGATGCCTATCTCATTTTTTTGGGAGGGCAGTACTGGTTATTGAACTCAGGAGTACTTGCCCACTGGTACCAAAATACCCAGCACTATTTTGTACTTAATTTAGAAACAGGGTTTCAATGAGTTGCTTAGGGCTTTACTTTTGCTGAGGCTGGCTTTGAACACGCCATCCTCCTGCCTCAG